ACTGCTGAAACTGACCGCCAGTTCTGACTTACATACAGAATCAACTTAAGAACCCCAGGCGTCCCCGATTCAGCCGCTGCTGAAACTGATCAGCAGCAGCTGAATCAGGGATGCCTGAGGCAGAGCCGGACTATTGGAAAGGGGGGCTATGAGGGGTCTGGGGCGGCATCCCCCGCCACCCCGCCCTAGGCCTCTCATAGCCCCCCCTTCTGATAGTCCGGCAAATCTGATAATCCGGCACCCCCTGGGTCCCAAAGGTGCCGGATTATCGGAAGTTTACTGTATTGCACTTTATTAATACCAGAAGAACTGACTGAAATGGAGCCTGCATGTTGTGTAGACTTGCCTTAATCTTTGTGTTCATGCCTGTCTGTGTGAAAAGCTATTTGCATATATTTACATGTATATGCAACCACACAAGTTGTGGCCCCCGGCATGTGCTGTGAGTATCATTGTGGCCCCTGTGGCTTCCATAGTTGAGTAGCACTGCTGTAGAGTGTCATTTAATCTTCGGCAAATTTACCTCTTTACTTTTCCACCTTGAGAAATGCCCATAAAGAGCAAATAAAATGTGAATGACTCATCTGGCAATGAGGTGGGAGAGGGTGCTTAAATGTGGCAAAATGGTTCAACTTAAAATAAAAATTACAAAGCAACTTTTCTGTGCTTAGAATCAGAAAGATCAGTAAGGGATGAAGAAATGCAGGATTTTAATAATCCAAATATGAGCAGAGCAATAGGTTGTCCAGGTGTTTTAAAAAAGAGACATCCCGAGAGAATGTTTCTTTTTGTCATATTTTTCTGAAATTAAGATTCTAGTATTTGGCATTGAAATTGAGAAATTTCACTGATTGCTTTCCTGAGGAGAAGGTGGGTATAACACTCTGAATTACTTATGCACTGACTTGTATACACAGTCAGTTGTACTTAGGCACTATAAACTAATAATTAAAACTGAGCTTGAAAGTCAGTGTTTATTTTTTTCCAAACTGTGTAACCAAATAAGTTTCTATTGGAAGTTTGTCAAACTAAGCAGTATGTGCTTAGTTTTGTAAAAGCAAGCTTTTCCATATGAACATGTTTTTGTCTTAAGATATAATTTTAGCAGGAGGCATCCATATTTCTGAATAAGTTCTTGGTAATACAGATAATTTATTTGTACTAAAATTAATATTTATACTCCTTGCTCTACAATATGACTCTGGCTAAACCTTCTCTACACTACAAAACTAACGTTGACCTAAGTTAGGTTGCCATATGGCCTCTGCAGTAATTATTGTATCTTTTCATGTCCACACTACCTTGCTTCTGCCGGTGTTGTGCATCCCTGCCAAGAGCGCTTCTATCCACTTAAGTAGGGCAGCAGGAGCGGCTGATAGCCAACAGACACACAGGCTGTGTCTACATTGGTGCAATCTTGTGCCAAAGCGGCCGCTTTTGCGCAAAAACATGCTGCCTGTCTACACTGGAGGGGAGTTCTTGCGCAAGAACACTGACGTTCTAATGTGTGAAATCAGTGCTTCTTGCGCAAGAACTATGATGCTCCCGCTCAAGAATACACCCTCTTGCGCAACTGTTCTTGCGCTAGAGGCCAGTGTAGACAGGCAACATGAATTTCTTGCGCAAGAAAGCCCGATGGTTAAAATGGCCATCAGAGCTTTCTTGCACAAGAGATCGTCTACTCTGGCACAGATGCTCTTGTGCAAAAGCACATGCCAGTGTAGATGCTCTCTTGCGCAAATACTTTAACGCAAGAACTCTTGTGTTAAAGAGTATTTGCACAAGATCATGCCAATGTAGACGTAGTCACAATGTTTATACAGACACCATTCATTGTGTTGCCCTAACAACATTGACCTAGAGATGCAGAGATGGATTTCTTAGGTCAGTGTAGTGTGTGACTTACATCATTGTAAGCAATGTTGTAGTTAGGGTTGCCAACTCTCCTAGTTTCATTGACAGTTTTCTGGAATCAGACTCTATCTCCTGGAAGCTACTGAAGCCAAACCCGGAGGGTTTAAGCCACTAAAGTGCAGTGGCAAAGTGGGACTCAGCCAGACTCCTTGCCGGCCCTGGCTCTGTGCCACTCCCAGAAGCAGCTGGCACATCCCTGCATCCCCTTGGATGCTTGGAAAGTCTGTGTGTGCTACTCACATCCCCAGTAGCAACACCACAGTCGTATAAGCCAGGAAGAAAGGGCCCATTCAATCACAGCCCTTCTTGAGTCTGGATCTTTTTATTCAGTTGTAATTATTGAAATTCCTAGAACAATCTCAAATACTCCCTCCCCCCCCCCTCAACTTACAGTGGACACAGCACCTCTTCCCTTAGGAAATGTGCCTGCCTTAGGGGCCATTGTAAGAGCAACTCTCCCCCTGAGCTTCACTCTGCAGTTCCATCTTTGCGGGAGCCTCTTTCATGCAGCTTGCTGATGCCTTTACCCGAGGAGCATTCGATTCAACTCAGCTGTGGCTTGTCCTGGAATCAGGGCTGGTTCAGCCCCAGGTTCTCCAGCACATGGGCAAGCAGTCCCTGTTATATGTGTTAATATACTAATGACATTTTGGTAGCTTAAGCTTTATTTAAAAATATGTGTGGAATCAATGTGGCATGTTTGTAAATAATGCCAACTTTTTACAGCTACAATATGGAGCAGGCAACTAGTGAGACATCTTTGTTTCTGCAAAGTAAATTGCCACAATATGAAACTAACAAACATGTTAAGCTGTTGCAGGAGTTAAAAAGCTTTCTCTGCCTTGTCTTTGTTTTACAGCTGTAATCAATGTTGCTGATGAAAAAATCAGCCAGAGTAGAAGAGTGATCATTGTGTTAGTACCAGATTCGTCCTGTTACAGTGTGTTAGAAGATTCCTCTGAACAGCAACTGGCTGTGTATAATGCTATTATCCGTGATGGAATTAAAGTGATTCTAATTGAATTGGATAAAATAAAGGATTACACAAACATGCCAGAATCCATCAAATATATTAAGCAAAAGCAGGGGGTCATCAAATGGAAAGGGGACTTCACAGAGAGATCTCACTCAGCAAGAACAACATTCTGGAAAAATGTACGATACCAAATGCCACCTAGACAAACTTTGTCTCCCTCAGAACTACGATTACTACCACCAACCTTTAATTCTCCACATACAATAACATTAGAAAGATGACACCCAAGTTCAGTTTTAAAGCTGTGAGCAGATCACTTCAACTGCTTTGAAATGGTTGGTTGAAGGATATTCATTATGTATTATACACTGACAATCTCATTTGGAGGTTTACAGGATTAAAGCCTCTACAACATCTTCATGGACAAATTTGAAAAGGAGATTGACTATCCATTCTCTGAGCAAATCAACAGAGCAACCTGAAAAAGGAGATTGACTATCCATTCTCTGAGCTGATCAACAGAGCACCCTGAAGCACTGTTTCAATATCGCAGCAGCATTGCAGGACTTTTTGAAGAAATACATTTTTGTAAGGAAAAGCCTTTTTTGCACTTTTAAATACTGTACTTTTCTTCCCATATAGGAAAATGAAGGAAATTAGTTGCTTTTTGAAGAAATACATTTTTGTAAGGAAAAGCCTTTTTTGCACTTTTAAATACTGTACTTTTCTTTCCATATAGGAAAATGAAGGAAATTAATTGGTTATATTCTGACTCTTATATGATGGGTTTAGGTCTGGTAATCCATAGTTTTGAACGAAACAAAACTCTGTTCATTTGTTGTAATCTGCTAATTATGGACTCACTGAAACCACTACAAGACAGATCATATTACATCATGTGGTATCATCCAAAGGGAGAGATGGGAGGGAGATATAAGACAAGAAGAGGACATTGGAACTTCATTTGTGCCCCTTAAAGAATGGAACCTTTTTCAGCATTATTTTCTAAAGCAAACCATGTAACATCAGGAAGGCCAGAAACATGTTTATTATAAACCAATGTTTTCAATCCGAATTTCAAAAAAATCTTTTGGGATCTGAAGTTTGTTTGGTCTTTGCATTTTTTTTAATGTTTAAGGAAAATCTACTCTGATGATTGAGTTAACTGATAAGCATATATGTACATTATCCCACTCCTGACAAAAAAAAATCAAGGTTTTTTTTCACACAGTCAACTTAGTTAACCAAATATTACAGTTTCACATGTGGCTGGACCACAGTGAGTAATTTATTTTTAAAGCAGAAGTCCAGTTGGATTTTAAACCCTGTTTCTTCGAAGGCTACTGTTTTTAATTCATGATGTACACATTGTAATTGCTCAACTGTTGTACTACACTTGAATTTTTATATGTAGATAGTGGTGTAGTTTGAAATCTCTGGGACTATACAAATGTCTTAGTGCACGTTGCAAAGGGGTTCAGTTAGGATTTCCTCTCATCTTTGTTTTTAAGGAAACCCCACTGGCCCCCCAAAACCTGATAATGTAGCAATAAGATTGTAACAATTTTCCTGTTGCAATATTAAATTGTCCACATTTTCCATATTGCATTTTAGGTTAGATTTAATGTGCACAATGTTGGAGTCTTGCTGCTTGACTACTAAAAATTGATTGTGTACACAGTGTGAAACAGATATTTTAAAAATCCTTGATTTCTGAATTTTATTGAATTGATGCTCAAATTTCCCTGAAAATCTATAAATTATTCAGATTTGAGTTAAATATTTTCATGTACTGATTATAGTATAATTAGTCTGACATTCTTTGCTTCAAAGCTGTCCATTAATTATTCTGCCAATATTCTGTAGAAGATGCTTTGTCGTATTATTGATATACTTTAGAAGAAATGGGTCAACATGCACCTCTTGAAAGGTTAATTAATCTTTCATTTTGACTAATATGATGATGAATTAAGCAACTACAAGTGGTGATATGGGAAACACTTGTTTTTCTTGGTTCTATGTCCAGTTCTGTCACTGGCCCACTGTGTGAATGTGGGCAAGTCACGTTACCGCTCTGTGCCTCCATTTCCCAAAGAGTAAAATGAATATACAGGCAGTCCCCGGGTTACGTACAAGATAGGGACTGTAGGTTTGTTCTTAAGTTGAATTTGTATGTAAGTCGGAACTGGTACATATTGTAGGGGAAACTCTAGCCAAACATTTCTCCAGAGCTCAGTTTTATTCTCCCACACCTCACTTCCCTCAGTCCTTTATTCTCAAGCTGAGGTGTCTGCTGAGAAAAGCCGCTCCGCGTCTCCCTGGTCTGCTGGGGGGAAGCAGCTAGTGTGGGGTTGCCTCACCCCGTTTGTAAGTAGGGATCCGATGCAAGTCGGATCCATGTAAGCCGGGGACTGCCTGTAATACTTGCCTCCCTTGCAGAGTGCTTGGAGATCTACTGATGAAAAGCACCAGATAAGCTAAGTATTCTAAATTTGAATGTGTGCGGTATCATAAGGTACATCAGCAACTCCAATGGTATATCTTGTCCCTATTAAAGTTATATTGAATTTATTTTTCTTTGTACTGTCCAGTAGATTAATGCATAACTTCCAGTTTTGGAAAGCTTTCAAAATTTGGTAAAAATACATGACAACATGGAAGACTGAATTTGTTGGCAGGTCATGTCTCCTAATCTACTCAAGTACTGCACTCTTTTGGCTCCTGTTTTTCTGTGCCTTTGGTCTCCTCCCACTCAAATTCCAGTGCTTTTCAACACCACACTTTATTCCTGGAACAGTGTCCTTGTTAGCCTGTCAGACTGCCCCATTTTTCCAATCCCTTCTATAAGGCAGCTGGTACAGTGACAGGTGTGTAGGAATTTTCATTCGCTCTCTTTGAGGGTGTCTAGCTTTTGAATCTGAAAATAAAGAAGTCCAGTCTGACTCCCAAACTCTCTGTTCCTTTGAAGGCTAGTGGCTTTATTTTTTCCCATTTGTCTGCTGTTGCCCTTTTACTTTCTCCATGAGTCATGGGGATTTCCTAGGCCCTTCTCAATCTACTATAGCTTATTCTCCTACCAAAGTAAACTGCCAGGGGCTACCATCCTACAGTAAAATTGTGTACCTATCACACACTGGTCTGACAACTTCCTACTGTGTCTTTTTTCAAGGACTTGTGATGAAACTACTATAAACAATGTCCAATGTAAAACTCCCCTAAAGCTATGTCTACACTGCACTTTCATTGATAAAACTTGTGTTGGTCAGGAGTGTAATATAGCAGGTTTCTGGGGCAGCCCTGAGAGGGTGAATTGCTTAAAAATAGGGCTACTTACAGCCCAAGACCGAGGGTCCTTCGCTATAAGGCACACCAACCCAGTCACAAAGAACACTTCTGTTTGCCACACTGGCCAGTAAGAAGTCACATAAACAATCCCTAGACAAACCAGCTTCTCCTGTGCTACAACCAGTACTACACCTTATGCAGCTCAGAGGTTATGAAACCCAATCTCACCAAACAGGCTTTTCTGATCCTAAAGGACCTGCCACATTCCCAGGTAAACTTATACCTCAGACCTTACCCCAGATAAACTGCTGTGCCAATTCTTTAGAACGTAAAAGGTTTATTAATAAAAGAAAAAGGTTGAGAGTAAAATTGTTAAAGGAAACAAATTACAAGTACCAATGCAAAGTTTCTGGTGCAGGTTTGTAGCAGAGATGGATTAATCTGCTGTTTTATAAGTCTCTGGAATACATCCTTTGTTAGGATGGGTCATCAGTCTTCCACGCTCAATTCATAGCAAACGTGCTCCTGAAGACCAGGAACAGGTAACAGGAGAGTTTGGAGAGGGAGTTCTCCAGGTAAAAGAGGAGTAAAAACGGGACCCTTGTGGTAAGTGGCTGTCTGGAGTGTGTGTTTGTGTGTGGGGGAGTTATTTGCAGTGTGCTGAGCTTGTGTTTGTCTGTTTGGTTTGTTTGTTTGGTTTGTTTGTTTGAAGGAGCTTCTAAAA